TCTCCTACGAATTTGCGATCCAATCCTACGGGCAGACGATATACTCGCATAACGGCCATTATACTATGAAGCGTCATGTCCGCCGGAGACAGATCTGTCCATTTCTTCCTTAAACGCATGCAGAAGTACTGACCGAGCAAATTCTACAGGGCACCAACGATGTCCGCCTGGATCCCCAGCTGAACAAGAAGGTCTGGGAGTGTGGTATCAAGGGCGTTCCCTTCAGACTCCGTGTCCGGATTTCTCGACGACGAAATGATGAGGAGGACGCCAAGGAGAAGCTGTACAGCTACGTTCAGGCTGTGAATGTCAAGAACCCCAAGGGCCTTCCCACGGTCGTTGTTGAGGAATAAATGCGAAAAAGGATGTTTCTCTGAAGTTGGGACTGGTTCTAAAGGTGGCATGGCATTTTGGAGTTGCAACCGGGCTTTTTCTAGCTTTTCATGCGGAAAAGAAAAAAAATTATATACACTGAGGGCAAAATGTGACTAATGTTTTTTCCTCTACTGCTTCCTGAGAGAGGGTTCGGGGTCACGGTCGAGGTGTTGTTGACATCCTAAATGTGATGAGTGCATTTGATTCCCACGGCTGTTTCAAGGATATTTAGTGAAATGTATTGCAATGCGAATCATATTTCACCAGGTCAAACTTCAAAATTCAATACATAAAATAAAGGGTTGTCGTGTTAGAGCTGCAAGTCCGGCTACCCATGAGGGATAAATTGATAAATACGTCTCCCACTCTAAAAGACCGTGATTAATGTTGGCCGAAGCGTTCCTTCGAGCCAACGAACTCGGTCTGCTTCACCCTCTCAAGCCAGAAGTGTACTGCCAGTTAACGTCCAATGTAGCTTCGTGGAGAGACTCAAATGCAAACCCAATGTACCATGATTAACCTGACCGAGGCATGCTTCCCAAAAGACTCCAGTTCTCCTGAATTGACGAAATGCAACAAAAGGTATTTCCCAATGCACAAAACAAGTGTATGCGTCCTATTCCTCCTCAATGTCTCGGTGGCGCCCCATCACCTTCTTCTTGAATTCTTCGGCATTTGAATCCCACAGCTCAGCAGCTTCTCCGTTCAAAGGTGAGGAGCTGTGATCAAAGTCAACATTGGATTAACTCACGGTGGCCTCATCAGTATGGAAGAAGCGGCAACTTACTTATTGGGCTCGCCAAGCAGGCTTTGGAGGCTCAGGAGAACAGTCTGGATGTTGTAGGCAGCTGTCCACTTATCCTTAAGAATGTCAAGACAGATTCGGCCTGAAAAATCGACGTTGGGGTGGTAGATGGGCGTCTTGAAGAGGACAGTGGGGGGAGCATATGGATAGTTGGAGGGAAAGGCGAAGCTCAGCTTGAAGGTCAAGCCGGCGTAGGGGGTATCGTCAGGTCCCTCGATGGTGGCCGTCCACGACAGCAGATTGCCATCGGCGGAAGGAAACGCGGAGACACCAGGAGCAGGCGAAGTCATGAGCTGCATAAGCTCAGTTTGCAATCTAACAGGATATGAGTGTTAATGGCTTACTTTCGTGATTGGCTTGCAACAACCATGACTTGGTATCGAGTAGGGCCATTTTGGGTAGCGAACGAAACATACCTTTTGGTAACGCTCTGCGAATCTGGGCCCTTTCTCGAAGTATTGAGCTTCGTAGCAGGGACACTGCCAGGGGCAGAATTCTGGCTATCCTCCGTGGCGAAATCCATTGTCATCGAGACTACAAGAAGAAAACAATGGCGAGGCTCTGTACGAAGTTCGGCAGAGTGTTGAACGGCAGATAGTCCCCAGACGTTAGCGGTCAAAGTCTCAGCTTCGACGAGAACGGAGTTGACAGTTTGGGGGGGGTGGGAAATCCGTTGACTAGGGAAGAAGTAAGGAAGTAGACGGCCGAGACAGAAGCCGAGGAATCCAGCCCTTAAAGGTAAGTAGGACGGGGTGTGGTGGAGGGCGAGTGCGTGTCGAGTTGAAGCTCTAAGAACGCGCGAGGCAAAAGGTGTGGGTTGGAGGAAACCGATTCAGAAGTGCAGGACCAAATGAAGTAAAGCCAAGACAAGTATAGGTAAATAATGCAATTCCCCAGCCTTCCTTTTGCAATGCGATAATTTCTCAATTCAAAGGGCACGGTGTCCATGCATGTTTTTATGGCAAGTCGACAGGACGCAGAGGAATAAGTGGTTGCCCGGAGGCTCTCCTGTTTGCCTAGCAACGGAGGGGTGACGGACTGGGGGGTGCAGCAACGTTGAATTTAGCAAGTAGCCGCAGAGGGTCAACCAGCGGTGAGACCAATCGACGCGCACGGCTGCGTGGACTCGCTTCAGGCGCTGAAACCACTGTTGGCTCCATAATGAGCCACTGAACGGTGCAGGGCAGCCAATCATATTCTCCAGTCGCGGCTTTACGCGGTGATGCGGGTAGACGCGCTAGACGCGACCACCCGCATCCGGTAAATAGAGCCAGACATTGGGCCGTGACTCAAGACGTGAACCACGGCCGACCATCGCTTGACTGGCGAAGAGTCGAGTACCCTGCACCAAATTCCTGCATATTTCCATTTCTATGGTGTCTGAACAATACGCCGGCTAGTGGCTATCATTGGCATACACGGCTCAAGGACATTTTGCCTTATTGTCCGTTTATATTTTGTTTTGTTTTGTTTTTTATTCAAAAAACAAAATTTGACGCGACTGACCCGTCATCACGGCATAATCGCGGGCATCACCCGTACTCTTTACGACTTGCCGTGAATCCGCCTCACGCACCCTCTCTACCAAGCAAGGCGGACTCAAAGCAATATACGTCCAGCGATTGAACTATTGAGGGCTACGGCTGCTAGGTTTCGAAATGGTGAGCTAGGGCCCCCACAAAGAAGCACTCCCTCTGCCTACGCTGTCCTGGTTTTGGACAATGCTTTAGACCTCGAGCCGCTTGCGGAAGACATCTATCTGTGCAATCCTGAATTTAGCCTCATCCATACTGCCCAACCGCCACATCGCCACCATATGTGGACTGCACATGAGACGTGATCGCCTCTGACTACGGCGAGTCAGCTCTTCAGGGACACTGCCCAGGCTGCAACGCACCAAGGCTGCTCAATTCGCTGTCCATTATTAAATCACTTAGTCTGACATGCTCCTATAGTCTCAACTAGACCCCTTACCAAAGGAACTCCCCTTCCGCATTGTCTCCAAGACTGTTGGTCGAGGAGCCTATGCCTCGTATGTATCACTTATCCGCCGCCACAACCCTTGACTGCCAAACATGGCTATTCGGCGACTCAAGATACTAACATTGCAACCAGCATCAAGAAGGCCATTCCCCTAGATGCCGCCAACCCTGTATTTGCCGTCAAACTCATCCACAAGGGCTATGCTGTTAAACATGGCCGAATTTCAACAAAACAGCTCGCCATGGAGGTTTCCCTGCACTCCCACATAGGTCAACATCCCAACATCATCGAGTGGTTTGCCTCGGGAGAGGACGCGGTATGGCGTTGGATAGCAATGGAGTTTGCAGAGGGTGGGGATCTCTTTGACAAGATCGAAGCGGATGTCGGAGTTCGAGAAGATATCGCTCAGCTGTACTTTACCCAACTTGTCAGCGGGGTGAGCTTCATGCACTCCAAGGGCGTCGCTCATCGAGACCTGAAGCCAGAGAATATCCTGCTTTCCTCAGATGGTAGTTTGAAACTTGCAGACTTTGGCATGGCAACCATGTTCGAATACAAGGGTCAGAGAAAGACAAGCTCTACCTTATGTGGGAGTCCACCATATATTGCACCCGAGATTTTGGCCTGCGGCAGGGTCGATAAGAAGAACGCTGGCAGTGGAAAGTATTCATCCGACTTGGTGGATATTTGGTCTTGTGGTGTCATTCTGTTTGTTCTTCTCGTGGGAAACACTCCCTGGGACGAGCCGTCGTCGAATAGCTGGGAGTTTAACGAGTACGTCAAGACGTCAGGTCACAGTCCAGATGCGCTCTGGGGGAGGATACCTCCAGAGGCTTTGTCCCTTTTGCGGGGGATGATGTCATTAGATCCCCAGAAGCGATTTAGCTTTCGACAAGTACGGCAACATCCGTGGTATACACGGCATAACTCTCTTTTGACTCCGGATGGTAAAATTACCGATCCTATCAACCTTGCCACACAGATGCTAGAAAACCTTCGTATCGACTTTACTCAGCTGCCATCAGCATCGCAACAGCAATACCTTGCCGGCGGGGATGATATGGATGTCGACACAGGCCTCAACAGTGGCAAATTTTCCTCAACACAGCCCGAAGTACCCATCATTGATAGAGATTGGGACTGGGAACGGCCCGTCCTGCGATCCATGGCTGCACCGGCCTCGTCACTGCCTTCCCGCGCTAGTGATAGCCGCCGAATGGTTCTTGAAACGCTTGCCGACGAGCCCTCCATGTCGCAATTCTCTCACACTCCTGGTCCATCAATGACACTCACCCAGCAGGCGCGTCGATTCCGCGACATTTGCCCTCCTGAGTCTTTAACACGGTTCTTCTCCCATGTTCCTCCCACACATCTGGTGCAGATGCTTAGTGATGCCCTCCACCAGTTAAATGTGCCTCTTGCGCCAGTGACGCCAAACCTGTATGGCAGTCCCATGGCAAACTTGAAAGTGAAGGCTATCGACGGCAGGCAACAGAACCTGCATGGGGAGATTCAAATCGACAAGCAGCCATTGCCCGATGGGAGCGAGGTCTTGGACGTGCGCTTCGTCAAAGTCAAGGGAGATCCCCTCGAATGGCGTCGGTTCTTCAAGAAGATCGTGGTTTTGTGTAAAGATGGCGTTTATGTTCCAGAGGTTTAGAAATGTACTGGTAATGGTGCGCCGGATGAGGTGTCGAGCACCGTAGTTGCAAGAGAAGTCGTGAATGCAAGGCTCTAATTATGGGATAGTTGAGCTTCTTTACCATAGCACTATAGCAGAGTAGGAATGCAATAATGTGCTCTTCTAAACATATCTCATTTCGCATATCCTCTGCCTTTATTCCCCTTGTGAGGTGCTGTCGTTGGCCTGGTCAGTCCACTCAAAAGCTACGTAATAGTCAGTACAGTGATGCTGTAAGTTCGCCAACAATGAGTGGATTCATACTTTGCCGACACATGGGGCATTGCCCACGAGCAGATTCTTGCTTGATCCATTCCATTATGCAGTGCTATGAGGATGTTGTCAGCAATTGAACGCGCCTTGGGTCAGCTGCACGAACAAAACTCACCATGTGGAAATTGTGGCCACATTTACCAGACACTATGAGAACGCAGTTAGGCAACAATTCGCTGTAAGTGAATACAGATCCTTGGGGTCAAAATGGACTCACACAGGCTGCAGTCATCGCCGGGGTATTTGCATGTTGGGCAAGTGCCGTCAAAATGAACCTGACAAATGCCACACACGTCGTCTTCGGGGATGTCCCAACGCCAAGTAGCTACGGCATTCCATTCCTTTATGGTGACTCTCATTCTGTGAGGCTGACACTGCTCTTTGAAAAGAACGGAGACTTGTCAACACGTCTGGTTTGGCCGATGAGTGCAGATATTTGCGAGGTCGTCGCGTCTTGGTATTTTGCGCCGAGGCGTGTGGCGTTGACAAACGAAGCTCGAGCTCTCCCAATCATCCACTGACTGACATGGCTGACATGTGCTCGAGTGGGGCGGCCAAGAGCTACGCCAACCTTCCGGCCTCGCACGCAACTGCGTCACTCCAGCTTCTTCCCACCCAATCTATCTCTCGAGCTGTCACACGCTCGAGCTTTGGAGCAATTGACCAGAGCTCGGGTCACCCACTCCGCCGAAGGCTGGGTTGGCGTTTGAAGCTACCATCACCACACCATCTCGCCTCCTCTTCTCAAGCCCCGTCTCCTCTTTTTGCAATTATCTCGCCTGCAAAGCCTTTCTCTCTTCTGTCGTTGTATTCCTATCTGAAACCGCATGCTACCGGTATGCGGGTGTGAACTGTCATCCGATATCGCTTTGTGAAATTCAAGATATCAAACTGCCTAGTTGCTGAAAAGTTTCCCGACAGCCCGTGCCTAACGCGCTGCCATTGCCGACATTTCAAGTCCTCGGACTGTGGGACTGACAACCGTTTTTCTACGCCGAGGAGTCGGAGACGTCTGCCATGGCCTTTGCAGCTGTTGCCCGTAGCTCCCGGTTTGGTCTTTCTTCGTGGAGGGCCAGAAATATACATTCAGCCATGGCGCTTAGCAGGGGCTTCTCATCTTATCTCGTCACACCAAAAGAGCTTCATGAAGCTCTCAAGAAAAACCCTCCATCGCCAATCAGCACCGATCCCCGAGTGATTCCTCTGTGTGCGTCCTGGTTCTTGCCCAACGATGAACGATCCGGTATCCAGGTCTTTAGAGAGCAGCGTATTCCCAAGGCTCGATTCTTCGATCTAGATAAAGCTATTGACAAGCGGAGCCCCTACCCACACATGCTTCCTGACGCCAAAGCGTTTGCAGCTGCTTTGAGCGAGTTGGGCATTCGAAAAGAGGATACTGTGGTTGTATACGACTCAAAAGAGCTGGGCATCTTTAGTGCCCCCAGAGTCGGTTGGACCTTCAAGATCTTTGGACATCCCAATGTTCATATTCTGAACAACTTCAAGCTGTGGGTTGAAGAAGGCTTGCCTACTGAGTCAGGGGAGCTTTACAGTGTGGAGTGCTGCCAGTATCCTATCCCCAAACTTGACGAGAGCAAGGTGGCTAGCTTTGAGCAGGTCAAGGAGGTCGCTCTGGATTTCAATAAGGAGGGCGCTGAGGGTGTCCAAGTTCTCGATGCTCGGCCAAGTGGAAGGTTTACGGGTAAAGATCCTGAACCGCGGGAGGGTCTCTCATCAGGACATCTTCCTGGCTCCATGAGCTTACCATTCAGTGCTCTTCTGGATCCCGAGACTAAAGCTTTCCCATCACCCGAGACATTGCGAAGCATACTACAAGGCAAGGGCGTTGATCCTAACAAGCCCATCATTTCGAGCTGTGGCACCGGTGTCACTGCGTGTATTATTGAGACTGCCTTGGACGTTGCAGGATACGGCTCACCCGAGTCACGGAAGGTATACGATGGAAGCTGGACGTGAGTATTACCTTCGTTGACCTATAATCAAGACTCTTTTTCAACAAGATGCTAACATTTCAAACTTAGCGAATGGGCTCAGCGAGTCAGACCGTCTGACAATCTGATTTTGAAGACTGAGTCATAAGTGTAAACGTTGCATCTTTGGCGGTTGTTTACTTTTTGGTATGCATCGGGCAAAAAATAGGATGGAACCCCAACCCTACAATACCCTACTACCCAATTCAGTGATATTGGCCTGAGATTTCTGCATTTGGCGTTGCTCTAGGTGTTTCTCTACTCGCATTCGGTTTTCTCGACTTATGATCATCTTCAGCTCGAGCAGTTCTGTATGAGTATTGGGGGTGTCTTATATTTGTGAAGTGCGCTTGCGTGGACGAATTCAATAAATTCCCAAAAAAAGAAAAAAAATATCGAAAATATTTCATTAGCATGTAAATCAGGGTTTGCCATAGCTTTTTGCTCTGTGCCTTGTACAATCTATGTGTCTACCTGCTGTCATCATAGCAGTATTCTTCCTTTATCTTATCACTGTCTTGTTGACATTGAGACCCACCACCACGTGAATTAGTACTTCCCGGCGCTCACCGTGGTGAAGGAGAAAAGACCCACCTTCCACTTATTCTCTCCTCATACACCAGGCACAAAGATTATTGGCCACAAAAGGCGCATTAGGGCTCGGCTAACCCAAGCGCACCTGAAAAAAACCTGGATTTTGGATTGCCAGCCCACCCCGCCAGCAGCCTGCGGAAAAGTTACCCAGCCAGCACCACCGGATCTCTACCCCCAACATCACCCAGCGACGACACCAGCGCCCAAGCCGAATTTTATTTTTTTCGACGACAACCGCAAAACACATCAATCACAATGGCTGACCGTGGACGTGGCGGTGGTTTCGGATCCCGAGGTGGTGACCGTGGTCGTGGTCGTGGCCGTGGCCGTGGACGCCGTGGCGGCAAGAGCGAGGAAAAGGAGTGGCAGCCCGTCACCAAGCTTGGCAGACTGGTTAAGGCTGGCAAGATCAACAGCATGGAGGAGATTTACCTGCACTCCTTGCCCATTAAGGAGTTCCAGATTGTCGACAACTTCCTCCCGAAGCTGAAGGATGAGGTCATGAAGGTACGAGAAACGAGCAAAACATGGCGACAACTGCCCCGATTCGATATTGCCCGATTATTGTCCGACAATGCAATCCTGAAAGAAGCGAGCATACAAAAATCAGAGGTTTTGGGTCCTTTCGGACTCTGCATGGCCGAGATATTAATGCTACAGGATTGCAATTGGCGAGGACAATGCGCGCAAATACCGGGTCACAACGCAAAGAGAAATATCTGATTGACTGACATGGATTTTCTCTCCAAATAGATCAAGCCCGTCCAGAAGCAGACCCGTGCCGGTCAGCGAACCCGATTCAAGGCCGTCGTCATCATTGGTGACTCCGAGGGCCACGTTGGTCTGGGTATCAAGACCTCCAAGGAAGTGGCCACTGCTATCCGTGCCGCCATCATCATCGCCAAGCTCAGCGTCATCCCTGTCCGACGAGGTTACTGGGGTACTAACCTCGGTGCTCCTCACTCCCTGCCCTCCAAGCAGAGTGGCAAGTGCGGTTCCGTCACTGTCCGAGTACGTACACGCCTACCCATCCGAGTCGTCTCTTGGCCTCAATCACAATACACGTGGGCGAGCTCAATATGATCAATTTGGCTTGCCAGAGGGGAAATTTGCAATAGAAAGATGGAATCATCAGCTAACCGTTCTTGTCTCAGCTAATCCCCGCCCCCCGTGGTACTGGCCTCGTTGCCTCCCCCGCTGTCAAGCGATTCCTCCAGCTCGCTGGTGTCGAGGACGCCTACACATCGTCCGCCGGTTCCACTAAGACCCTCGAGAACACCCTGAAGGCTACCTTTGTCGCCGTCTCCAACACCTACGGCTTCCTCACGCCCAACCTGTGGAAGGAGACCAAGCTCATCCGGAGTCCCCTGGAGGAGTTTGCGGATACCCTGCGGGACGGCAAGCGATACTAAGGAGGATGTTTTTACGAGGGCTGAAAAGTGCGGTGCGCGGAGTCACTATCCATTGTGTTTCATTGCATGGTTGGCCGGTTAGGGCATCTTGACTTGGGGCCACGAGATATAATGGTCATGGTCTAAATGATAAATCTTTCAACCTATTCAAACACTATGTTGCCTAATGATGAGTGAACGTGACTATGATAAATCTGGTGTTGGTAGGGACGACTATCCCTGGAGATGCTCGCATATGGTCGGTATTGCGACTGCAAAAGCGTGTTAGCAGCGAATATTGGGCAATGCGATAGTCAGTCATCTCTGTTCCTCTCTATGGAGGTGCCGCGACTGGTGTTTCCGCTTCCTCGAGAGGAAAACATCTTATAAGTTGCCGTGGATATTGCTCGACAGTAGGATACCGCCGTGGATTTTAGTGCCTCGTCTGACTTGGGAATATTGGAGAGCTCCATTCCGAGGCTACCTTTCCATTCAATAGGATTCGCATTTTGGTAAAAGGTACAGGGTAGTCTATATTTGGAATCGACCCATGTGTCTGGTGGCCTTGGGAGAGATATCCTTACGGTATGTTGAAATATGAATGACAGGTCGTGTCGAAGTAGATGATATATTTCTTATGCGTCGTCGATATATCTGGTGGAGGTTGTCTTTCGTGCAGTTGTACAAAGCGGCATCGAATTCACAACTCCATTACCAACGAGTAATCAAACGTCATCAACACATGCAGCCTGAACAACAGGGGCACAACTCCAACTGATTAAAAATATCAGCAATGGCCATAACACAGCGAACTAGATTCGTAGTATTGAAGCCAGCGAGAGGTTGTAGGCAGTATACTAGGCTGACTGATCACCTGGTAGGTCAGCGAGGGCGACAAACGATCCCCTTGCAAGGGACAACTCCAATAGAGCCTTTTCCCCGCTAGAAACGACGATAGCTGCATCTGCCATTATTTTTTTTCAACAGCCCTTGACACATGTCACCCTTCAACCCTACAAACGCACAATCCCACAATCGAATAGTCCATTACCGACCCAATATGCCCTTGCCCACACACAACCCTTCGCAGCAGTGCATACTGTCAATATTGCCACCCTTGGACGTCTTCAAGAAATGCATTGAAAGCCTTCCACCACCCTAGGGCACGTGAACTAGGGCGTCGGGTGAAATCAGGACACCGAACTGGACACAGCATTACGGCCACAGGGCTTACTAGTATCTGTAGACGATTGCCTACCACCGTTGCCTTCCCAGCGGATGCTGTTGATGTGCATGCCTTTGCCGTTCCCACGGCCGAGGTAGACGTTCCCTGCTTCCTGCTTGGCTCGGGGCATTGCGCCAACAGAAGGGAACAAGGGAAAG